CGAAGTGAACAAAAAAGTCGAATTGTTCTTTTCGAGATTGCCGAAAGTTGCCCATTGCAGGAAAGTTTGGGACTGCTACGTTTGTTTGATGTTGGAAAGCCGGGCAGTGAAGCTTGGAATGCAGATTGCAAAAGTTCAGCAGCAGGAAAAAAACCAACGCGTTTTTGCATCAGCACAGACTGTTTGTCCTGGGTACAATCTTATCAGGCGCTGGATTCCGAAAGGAATGCTGCCGCACTTTGTGCGAAAGATTCATCACCTCCATGGCATAAGTCGTAGACACAATCAGCAAACGTCTCCGGGTGAGTCGTTTGCTGGAGGTGCTTCGAACAAATGGCTCTGGCATCGTCCTCCTGAGCATCACTGCAACCCTGCGACTGCACCATAATTGTCCCTGTTTGGTGTTTCTTCTCCAAGTATGCGGCCCCAGCTGGGCTGCCACCCAAGGTCACCCACGATCCAGGTGCCTCAAAACAAGGCTTCTGAAAATTCATGGCATGGTATGGAATGGTATGGAAACTGGGTTCAAGTACACCCAGCATCACTTCTTACATATACATATGTATACATGATACTATACATATCTATAGATTTGACTGCTCTGACGAACAGCTGAGAAGGGAAAAGTGTTCAGGAAAATCTTGGATACTATACTTCAAGTGTCAGGAATCCTGTTAGAGTATCCCATGTATCAAAAGCCCCTTAGTAGCGCTGAAGACAGTGGTATTGATGCATTCAAAGTATAGTACCTTCCACAACTGCTGTCAGCCAAACAATGGTAGTAGTCACTAGTCTCTTTGGGAATCGATAGTCTGGACATGTGTCTCCGTCGTTTCCAAAATGTCTCTGAGTCATCCCAGCCTTAAATTAAACTCTTGGTCTGCTCTCATTCGCATCATGCCCTGTTTGCTGAACAAGTGGTAGTTGTGGTCTACGTCTGGAGCCACTCCAAGTTCACCACCAACATGGTCGATGTCGCTCTTCTGGAACATGCTCATCTTGAAGTCCAGGTGATGCTTTGGCCTGCAATGGACCACAAGGGTTGAGATGTTCTTCATGTCGGACCCTGACCCCATCTGCAACAGGATTGCAGACCTCAAGATCTTGGTTTCGCCCAGTTTCTCGTGCAGCCTCTTCACTTGGAGGCTGGTCGTCCCGTCTTCTGCCGATAGCAACTCCACCTGCGCCTTGCGCCATGGGGTTTGCTTCTCCTTGATGCGCCAAGAGCAGTCTTCTGCTGTGATTTCCATGGACTGCCCGGAGTGGGGATCCAAAAGCAGCAGGCCTTGCGTGGTGAAGCGATGGCCTGCATAGGCCGCAAGGAGCTGCCACCCACGAGCTGGAGCTGCACTTGGCACAGTTGATGCTGGCACAGCCTTGGAGAAGTTCCAGGCGACGAAAAAGCCTTGCTGCAGCAAGGTGTAATGGGCTCCCCGCAAACTGTGGATATGGGGATCACCAGCAACACCACCAGCCTCGCAGTAGCAGAATCGTTGTAGGGTTTCTAACCCTGGTTCTGCATCGCACGTAGTTTGTCTGGACGGCTGGTTTGTTGGAGTTGCGGCGTTTTTGAAGCAGAAGTTGTCTGTGACTCTGAGGAGAGGAAAGTCCTTTCCAGTCAAACCAAAATTAACGATGCACCCAGGAGACAGGGTTTGCATGTCTTGTGCAGTGGCACTGTTGGTCATTGCCGCATTACAGGTGCCCAGGCTGTTGTCATCGCAGTGCTGATCGCAGCTTATGCCTCGGTCGGGAATCCCTCACACACGACACAAACGTCTTGAAGTTCAAGAGAACCTAAACTGATCTGAGCCGATCTCAAGAGACTGAGAGACTCCATCTAAAACAGAGAACAAACAAAGAACACATTCAACGATCTGTCCATCCGATTCGACATGCAGCATGAGAGCAATGTTGTACAAAAGAAGGAAAGGCAAACTTGCAAGTTTCACTGGATACAAGCCCATCTCACCAACAAACCGCCCCCCGGACTCCAAGCATACACGATCCAAACCAACTCTTCGCCGCAGCCAATCACACAACAAGCCCAACAAATCACACAAACCTTTTGACGTTTCCAACACAGACACAGATCAAGAAAATTGGGCGTGAGAAGACTGAAAAGCCGCGAAGAATTTGTTTCCGACACATATGCATTTTATATAATATACTAAAGTACATGGAATTCAGGTAGCCTAGGCTACCTTTGGCATGCAACGAGGGTATTTCTTGAAATGATGCGTATCGTCGAATTGTTGATTGCAGTTCTCTGTCCAAACATGCGATGATTCGACCGGCTTCACTTCCATTAGTCCATCGAGCGACCTGCTGCTGCCAAGTAAAAGTCGCCATTCTTTAGGGCCATCGCGTTGATGCTGGAGGACTGGCCAACATTGAGTTGGACCATGGAGGCCACATCTTTCGAGACACAGTTGGACCCACCCTTGAAACCACACTGCTCTGCCGCGCAGGCCTCCTTGTAATGTCATGGAGACAAGAAATCACAAGGGCCCATGACATGGCAAAACCCAAACCTATGAAAGAAAAAGACAAAAGATTGGTGTCGTGTCTTTTGAAGCCTCAAAACACAAAAAGAACCGCTTGGTGTTTTCAGGACTCGAATTTGCATTGTCAATGCTGGGGGTTCCAGTGTGGCCGCCTATGCAAAAAACATTCATCAACTTCATCAACCATTTTTCAGCCATGGACCTAGCAATTCTACGAGAGTCAAACATTCATATTCCTCAGTACCCACTTTATCCACGCCCAGCGTTTTTTTGGGATCATCAAGGTCCTGGGACACCACGAGCGACCACAAAATCGCAAAGGCCGCCATGAAACGCGACCAGTCAATGGGAGAGTTCGAAAGAGCGATTGCCGTGAAGAGGAAATAATCAGTGCAGGGGCAAAGGGGGCCGAAGCGTGGGTTTCCGACGTTGCGCTGTGACGCTCCCGGGGGCGGGTGGCGCTGCGACGCTGCGACGCTGCGACGCTGCCGTTGGGCCAGTGACGCTGCGACGCTGTTGGCGCTGCGACGCTGCGACGCTGCCGTTGGGCCAGTGACGCTGCGACGCTGTTAGCGCTGCGACGCTGCGACGCTGCGACGCGGGAGCGACGCTGCGACGCTGTTGGCGCTGCGACGCTGCGACGCGGGAGCGACGCTGCGACGCTGTTGGCGCTGCGACGCTTCCTTCTGCAAGAGTGCACACGGCGTTGCGTCGCGGCGCGACACGGAAACCCCCATTGAAGATCGTCAATGAATGTAGAAGTTTATATATAACGGGGCTGAAAGAATTAAACCCTTATTGAAGATCGTCCATGAATGTAGAAGTTTAACGGGGCTGGGAGAATTAAACCCTCATTGAAGATCGTCAGTGAATGTAGAAGTTTAACGGGGCTGGGGAGAATTAAACCCTTATTTAAGACTGGCTTCTGATTAAGGTATTCTTTTTATGCTCTCTAAATTTGTGTTTCAAAAAATATATCATCTTGAGTAAGTCTAAGAGTTTGTGTTAGAAATATTTCACAACCTATCATCCCTGATTTCATTTGCCATAACCCAACTATGATTTATGTGGGGAAGTTTTGCCTAAGTCTTGCCATAATTTGATTTGATCCAACCGACGTTCAGTGAGCTTTTAGCCATGTGTAAGTGGTTTGATGGAGTCAATGACTGCAAAACTGAAGAAAGTCAATGACTTTTAACTTAAGACTCTTTAAATTTTGTTAGGTCAATGACTTTAAATTTTGCTTGCAATGTTGCAAGTAGGTCAATGACTCATGCCCAGTCTGTTGCCCGATAGCATTTGCTCAAATCCCTTCATGTCACCAGCAGCTGCTGAGGACTGGCAGTTTGTGCCTGTGCTGTGAAAATGCCAGTGTAGTTGCATTGAATTGTGGAATTTGAAATTGAGCAGGATGGCATTGATTGACCCTCTCCTGACCCAAGTTCGCGACTTCCTCAGCCATTGAATTTCACATGTCATCTTGGATGCATTTCACTTCAATAGATACATTCAACTGCCACCCTGTCCACATCTAAGAAATGCTGCTGAACAGACTGGAGATCATGGTGGATCGAGACCTGACGCAATTGGAGGAGCAGCTTGCTTTGGCACCATGTACTTTTTTACATGATTGATTGCAAGCCTGCTTGGTATCAGGAGGTCGAAATCATCTTCATACTGTTTGGGGATGTGCAAATCTCAGCAATGACAACACATTGAGATGGAAAAATAATAACTGTAGCAGCAGCAACACTTACTACCTGACAAAATGCATAGAAAAAATTGGACTTCCCCAGGGCAGAGCGAGCAACATGCCTGCTAGCATTGGCCTTACTTCTGATGGCTTGGATGTCCTTTCTGCATTTTGCATGCTCATGCGGTCCATTCTGCATTTTGCATGTTCATGCGGCCTGTTTGTCTAGGTTTCGAATGGGTCCAAGACCCCATGTTGTGCCCTCAAAGCTGGTGTGTCAGGGTCTATCAGTGCTTTTCAGTGTCAGTGCCAGATGCCAATCTTCAATTCAGATGGATCAGAGGTTAAGACAAGCCGTTGAAAGCATGCGGTCAATGACCACCTTGGACCCTGGTGTGTGAACTCAGTCCTTGTCATACGGTTGTTTCAGCATGGTCATGCTGTGGTGGGCTTTGTGAGTGAACCTTCCCAAATGAGGCTCTGGTATCATCATCCCAAATGAGGACTAGAATCTTTTGATGCATCAGACACCTGAGTATATTGCTACTGTCAAACATGTCAGAACTTGCTGTAGGACACTCTGGTCAATGTATCCGTGGGCAATGACATTGAGAGTGGCCAGGGGCTCAATGTGGTTGGTGACACAGTTGCAAACTGATCATCTTTTCCAATAGCATGTCATTTCATTCACACGCTTAACAGTTTAACATGAGTATTTGATTTTTGATCAGATCACAGATGCATTTTAATTCAAAATCCTTGACATGATTGTCGACTGTAGGATCCCGAATCGCAGATCCTACCGTCAGATTCCCAGCTGTCCTTCTGTCACTGACCTACCGTTGTGGCTGTCACTGGAAAGCACCACTTTTGAATACCATTGTCATTGTCATTGACTGATGCTGCAAAATTTGGTTTTAAAAGTTCAGGGCAAAAGACTACTAAGTTGATGCCAACAAATAGCACCAGCTTCAAGCTCAGGAATGATGATGTTTAATAATCATGTTCAAACCCAGTGCCTGCTTAAACACGCCCTGTAAGAACATCCAGCAACACAGCCATGTCATTCATTCCCTTTAAACTCATTTAGTTGTTTGAGAAGCGTCAGTGTCAATGCAAGCCATGGGCTACAAGCGCCGCTATGACAGTGATGATGAAGCGGAACGCGACATGGGCTATGACCTATTGGGCTTTCAGAGGGAGGCAGCTTGACCTGTGGTTGTTCTGTTTGAAACAGGTGAAACATGTCGCAAGCCAAATCCAAATCGTGTCGAAGCATGTCAAGCCATGCCAAATCAAAATCATGTCAAATGTCAAGAATCAGGCAAGTCATGCTGAATCCAAATTCAAGACTTTTCACAAACCAGTGAGGTGGAGCGTCGATGTGATGATCGAGGAACCCGAGGATGGCCAAGAGATGTTTTAATAGTTGGATGGGGGGCCAAACCAAAGATGCCAGTATGGTGGAAGGGTGGCAACCCAATCGAAGTTGTGACATCATCTAATACTCCAGCGATCTTCCACAACCTCGCTGACCTCATGCGCATGAAGGTGGAGGAGTTGAAGCCCCTTGGGCAAATTAAGAGTCAGCCCACATTGATTGTGCCCCAGACTGTGCAAATGCTATGAACTTGCAATGCTCTGAGTCCAAAAGAGCAGCACAACTGTGGGCTTCGATCCTGCATCCAAGGGACAGCCTGTAACTCAGTCATTGTCAAATCAAAGTGCAGTCAATGACGCTCAATGACATGTTTTTGAGTTTAACAATCATCTTGTCAATGACATTGAGTCTTTGTCTTGGGTATTGATATCAGATATTGTCAAGTTGTCAAGTCAAAGAGTATCAGATACTGTCAAAGAGATTGATGATGTATTGGCAGGTCTTCAGGCATCCGAAGGCAACTTCGGTCATGGAGCGAATCTGGGAGAATCCAGGGAGCTGCATTGCCATAAACTGCAAAGCAGGCTTTCATCGAACTTCAGCTTATGTAGCTTTGTTGGCTTGCCTGCTCTGTGTGTCTTGGTCCCATTGTTTTTAACCAGACTTATATCGGTCTGTGCATGGATGAGCACATTCACTATTCTCCATGGCACTGGACTGGTCTCTCAGGTATGTGGTGTCAATTGCTGCCCGATCATCTTTAGTTTGACCGGGGCACGCAGCTGGAATTCCGACATGGATGCCATTGAGCTGTGGATGCAGTCAACATCAGCAGAGAGGCGCCCTAACCACAGTTTCAAAGGTTGAACCATATGACAGTGGTCCTGTTATCTTGTTTCGTCAGGCGCGAAATTGCCATCCGTGCTCTTAAAAGAATGGGATTCTCGGAGTCATCCTGGCAGAAGGTGATGATCAAAACTCTATGGAATTTTTGGCAATGGACTGGGGCTTGGCCATGGCCATTCATGGAGTTCCGGAGGCAGTTGCTGGTCAAGTATTTAGTTGGATGGTGATCATGTCAATGTCAGTCAGATTCTACGTGATTTGAATTTAATGATTAATCAAATTATGATGTGTGAATTGCTTTGTTGCACGAGGCAGATTCCTCGGGCGCTGCCTAACGAACCACCGCCTTTACCACCACCTGCTTTCCCACCACCTCCTTTAGCACCACTTGCACCATGGCATTCAAACGCACCATGCCAACAGGCTCCACCACATCCAAGCTACCCACCCGCACCATGGCACTCAAACGCACCATGCCAACAGGCTCCATCACCTCCAAGCTACCCACCCCCCCCTCCAAGCTACCCCCCCCCACCATGGCGTACAGACCCGCCACCCCCACCACCTTCAAGACCACCACGACAACGACGAGCTTCAGGGGTTTTAACCCCACAAGAACCTTCCAGTCCTCCACCACTCGATATGTGGGAAGCTGCAGATCAGAATCCAGTGCTTGCGGCCATTTTGCAGCTTGTTCCAAGAGGCGATGTTGTCAGTGACTGAAGCGGTGTTGAACATGTTCAAGAGCTGATGATCTTGTCAATGACTGAAGCGGTGTTCAAAACATGTTCTTGATGATATTGCCAGACTGAACCGGGTTTCAAAACATGAATGAGACAGGCCAAACTGTCAAAATAAACCACTGATGTTGTCAGAGACTGACACTGTTCAAACGTGCTAAACAGTTGATGTCATCAATGACTGAAGTCGTCAAAGGCTGAAACATGCGCTGATCTAAGGAATGAAATGATGGAACAAGCTGAAATTAGGGGCAACTTGCGTCGCATGATGCTGGCTCTGCCACTTTGCAGACAACTGCGTTTTGCTGGTGTAATTTGGAGACAAAACAGAAGTGGAGTTTACAAAAACTTTCAATCCTATTTGACATCCTGTCTCTGTGCAGACATCGCAGCCATAGCGCTCTATGACTAGGCTTGGGTTGTCTGAAAATGTGGTAAAATCACAATATGACAACTGGCCCTCAATCAAATGACCCCCTTATCGGTCTCAGACAAAGCCTAGCGACTGAGCAACACTTTGCTTCTCATCGTCCGAGTTAGAGCCTGTCAGGTGATTGTAGCCAGTCAGTGACAGTGACATCTGTTTTGGCCTTCAAATGTCAATGGGCCACCTTGATCAGATCAGCCTAGCAAGGGAGAAAAATGTCAATGACTGCTGCACTAGAAGGTGTCCCGATGCAGCTTGGACTCAAAATCAAAACAACTTAGTAACTTGGCACTTGATTATTTGTCTACGCATGGAGTTTGCCTTACAGCTGGCTCGAAGAGTAATCGCCCTAGATGTCAATGTCTGATCCAGTGCTTGCAGTCTTAGATGACGATGGAAGACGGTTGGTTCAAGAGCGTGGCTTGTCAAGGCCATGCAGCCATTCAGAGTCAGAATGATAATTTAATTGTCTCAGCATGACTCGTTTCACTGTCACGTGTTCAACCTTGGAGGCCTGGAATGCAAGCATTGGCATTGATCTGCTTGGCCTTCCACTTGGAGTACTTGGACATTGTCCAATATTTGAACAGCCATGAGAGCAGCCGTGGTACTGACATGTTTTTGCGACTTGTTTCCCATGATTGCTTTCATTGTCACATTATTCATGCTGCACATGGCCAGACATTAAGAACGTGGATGGCTGGCTGATAAAGTCATTCAGAAATTTGGTGGAGGAGCCAGGTTCCTAGGAGTGAGTCGTTGTCTGTCTTGACTTGGACCTCAAACATGTTGTTTAGAAGGATTGGTGAAAAGTTTTATCATGCCACTAAACTTTGTCAAAGATTGTCTATCCTGAGGCTGAACGAAAGCATGGGCCTGCCAACGGCCCGTAGGGCAGAGTGATCAGCGTCAAATCATCAGATGGTGAAAAATGGTCTGTGGCGGCGCGTTCATCGTCATTGACTGGCTTGCATTGTCCTGCATTGCCACCTTCTGGATCGCTCTTTTCCGTCATTGACTGGAGAGTACTAACTTGGCAGAGCCTGCCATGTTTACATCCCTCCAAGGTCCGTACCCTGGAGCCATTGAGTGGCCATCATATTCTTGACAATTTCGCCAGGACCTCAGGTTCAGTCTCAGTAACGTCAAACTGAATGACAATAAAAAAGAAAGTGGCATTATTTAGTGTCTGTTGTTTCTCAGGTACCCAGCTCTGACCAACTCCATCAGCGTCCAATGTCAGTTGAGTCAGAGTCAGACAGAGAGTCAGAGTCAGAGGGGAGTCAGAGTGATGGCTGGAGCAGCTGGAGTCAGAGTCAGAGTGGAGTCCAATGTACAAGGCCGCCCATGCTTGCTTTGTCAGCATCACTTTGTTTGCATCACTTTGTTTGCAAGATCCGTTCACTTGTTTGCACTGACAAGTTGTTGACATTGATTCAAGGAGCCTTGCACCTGCTGATGCATCTGATGATGACTTGGTCAGTGACAGACCCCCTGAATCTGAGCCTGACCGTGAGCCATTCTCTGACTCCGAGACGCTGATGCTACCAGGAGGGGTGGATCCAGAAGAGCATCAGTGGTGGTACCCACAAAATTGGATGTTGGAAACCGACGTGTACTTTGGGTTTGGCCCTGGCAATTGCAGATGGGCATGGGATCAAACGTGATATATTTTAAATGTCATTTGGGGGCCTGGTTCCAAAGGAGGCAGGCGTGAACTTCGATCTTAGGGGCTTGCCGAAAAGGCCACATCTGTTTCAAAAAAGTGCCAAGTGAAGTCAGAGCCGACTGTCGGTTTTTCATTGCAATGTCACATGATTCAGTGACTGTCAATGACAATTGTATGTGTGTGCTTCAGGTCTGAACTCTGTCATAGTCATGTGGTCAGTAGACTAGTCATCATATCATGGCAATTGTGGTTTTAAGTTTTAACTCTCACCAGCCAAAGCACCACAATGTCACCAAAGCCACTTGTCATTTTTCTTAGAAATAACACCTGCTTATGTCAGAAATAGCACCTGCAACTGTCGGTGTCAGCGCCAATCGCGGGATTGTCTTGCTCCCATTGCTACGTGGTGGGCCTGCCCTGCTTTGGAATGTCTCAGTGGTTGTCATTGACCAGTTGCCAGTTGTCATTGACCAGTTGCCAGTTGTCATTGATCAGTGGCCTTTGTGCTTTTGAGCTCAGCTTACCACTCAATGTTCTGGCAATGAGTTTTAGTGAGCATTTGTCAATTGTCTTCAAACAGTTTCAATTGCATATGTTGGAAGTTTGGCAATTAAAGCGTTAACTGTCAATGACATGACATAGCCTATGAGCCGTTCACCATGCAGCCAAAAAAGCGATGGAAACACCTGTGCAGAGACTTTGCTTGGCTTCGAGGGACGCCACAACTGGCGAAGTGT